AATTTGTGTTTATAATTCTGAGCATCACTTGTTACCCATGCTCAGTTGTTCTGGAATATGTTTATTTTTACCTTACAAATGAAAAAAAAAAAAATCAGTACTAAAATGGCATCTCCACTGTAATTGAATGACACTTTTATTCCTTTATAGATACTGAGCTTCTGTTGACTTCTGAAATTTCAAATGATTGTTCAGAATTACATCCGCCACATCCTTCAGTCTGTAACAGAATAAGCCAAACCACTTAGCTGTTTGCTTTGCAATTTATTAGGCTTGGAGACTAGAAGAAATTTGCCTTTAAATTTGCCTTTTTCCCTGATCTGCACTTGGGGCTGAACTAAGCAAAGCGTTATGCTTTGTGAAATGAGGTGATAACGTGCTTTCCAGCTTTAATGAATAATTCCTCACTTTGGGAGACCAACAATATTACCTGCTCAAGAGATCTGAACTCCAGCTGTTGCCTTCTGGAGGCTTTTTGTTCTATTACACAGCCTGGCATTAATATAATTAACTTTTCTTTTTGTGTGCTCTAATCACACCCTGCAACAGCCTGTGCAGCTCTTTGGAACCCGTAGTGAGACAGGGGATGAATGTCCCTCCTTGGGAGCTGCCCACACCGAGCAGCCTTGGGCAGCGTCCTGGCAGTGCCGAGTGCCCGAGGAAGCGAAGGCACGTCACTGACTGGGAGAGCTTTCTGGTATTTTCTGTTTATCTTTTCTGGCTTTTTTATAAAATCCAGAGACTGAAAGGACATGAAGAAATATTCCTTGTTCTTTCAGGAAAATATGCCATGAATTTACACTTGTGTTTCAAAGAAGTTTAATCCAGATCAGTAAAAAATTCATGACAATTGGTAGCCCCTGGTATTTTTATATTTGCCTGATATACATGACTTTGCCTGTCATTGTATAAAGCAGCAGCGGTACAGATGTACCACCCAGATAACATCAGCATTGGTTGCACACGCCTTGATAGTCTCTGGGAACGAATATTGTAATGGATCATTTGTTGCTCTTCCTGTTTCTGTTCTATCACAAAGAAATACGTGAGGCTGTTTCCTTTCTATATGCTTACATCAGTGCGCTGGGCATTTTCAAAGCAGTTGTTCCAGTCAAAGTTTTCTGGACAAACACCTCACTGCCCAGATTTCTCTTAAATCACTTCAGTAGGCCAGTGTCTGCACAAATGATCTTTTCTCTATACAGAGCTAACTTTAAAAAATAACTGGTGTCTAAACTGTGCCTCCTTGTCCTGCCTCGGCAGTGGCAGCAGAGTGGGTACGTGGACACCGAGATGCTCATATCTGGAATGGCAGCTCCCTACCCAGCCCCTCCACCCCCAGTTTAAAGGGCCTAGCTCCACAGCCGTTATTTGGTTGCATTGGTAGTTAGGTTCATTTCGTTTCATTTTCCCCGTCAAGTACATTTTCATGTGACAGCGCACAGTGATTTGGTGCCTGCTGGGTTTGGTACCTGCTGCCTGCGACGGCAGCAGCCCTGCCAGCCTCCCCTGCCAGCCCCACCGGGGAGCTGCCACCACTGGGCATTCTTCTGGTGCTGGCTCCTGCTGGGAACCCTGCTCAAACACGTCCCTTCTGCGACAAGGTACAGGGCCAGTTTGCCCTACCGTTGGGTTTATGGCCTGTTCATATGTCATTTCTCACTACCTGCCCTGTTCAGATATCATTTCTCACTATATCCTATGAAGTGAACATATTCTGTTTCACATAAGTTTATATAGGTTACAGGGGGTTAAACCCTAGAGCACAGATGCCAAGCACACGCTCTGCAGTAACAAGACGTCCAGGCAGAGCATGGTAAAGAACTGTAAGGAAATCACAGATCCAGGGGTCTCCCAGAGTATCATCTGATGATGATAATTGCCATCTGGGGTACCAAACAAGACAACGGACTCATTATCTTGCAGCAGAGAAAGATAAAGAAATATGCCATTGTACACTTAGCTTCATATGCCATTCAAACAAAAAGACATAAATTAGGGCACAAGGGAAAAAAGAAACATGTTGCGCACAGAGAAAGTATTTTGAGAGACATTTTACGGTTTAGAGTTGCTATGTGTTATTACAACTGGAGAAGAAAAGAGGAACTCTCTTGGCTGAGCTAATGCAGCCCTCGCGCAAGTGAAGCAAGAGCCTGACCTCTGCAAATTGTGCAATGGTTGCCTGCCCTTCCCCCCAAGCCCCGGCGAGGAAGACTCGCCGACGGCGATCCAGCCCGGGCTGGCAGAGGCCCCGCAAGTGCAGCAGTGGGACACCAATGTGTCCCAGGTGCCGTGCGTGAGGATGGCCATCGGCATCCTTTTCACAACTATACCTCAAGCAGAATAAAAGCACTTCCCACTTCAGTTCCTCCTTCAAAATGATCTGAAGGGAGAAGTTTAAAGCAAAAACTCTCAGTGATCCTGTAACAGGCATGGCATTAGGTACATAAAGCGAAAATATATTTAAATTTTCTCTTTGCCATTGCAAATGTGATAAATATTCTGAAAGATGACTTAAGTCTGCAGAATTAAGCCATTTGTATTATGGACGCCTTATGGATCATTTCTAGCCCTCCCTCAGAGATCGGTTTCTTAAGACATTCAGTATGAGCAGGAGAAGGTAACCTGTGATGTACGAACCACGGCCACAAGTGCCAACTCAGCAACCAGTTTTCAATTGTTACTCCGTAAAAGCAGCCGCCCTGGCATCCTGCTGCCTCCCCATGCAGCCTCAGGGTCCCTATAGAGGCCGGGTTGCCTATAGGCAGGTAGGCAGATTAACTGGAGGTGCACAAACTGATGCACACATGGCCAGCGAGGACCAAAGCCTCCAGCTCGGCTTGCACCAGAGCTTTACTTCAAACCCCAGCTCCTGCTCGAGTAAGACTATAAAACAGACATGAATCTTTTGCTAAAGAAGAACAAAAAAAAAGTCAGTTAAGAACTTAATTTAGTTCAGAACTAGCTGAAAAAGTCCCCAGACTCCAGCCAGCTGGATAGCTGGCGCTGGGTGAAAGCAGCCTGGATGAACCCTCAGCCCTCCCAGGTGCCCCCTGCCCCAGCACCACTGGGCAGGAATGGGCGCAGAAAGGTTTGTTCAGCTGCACAGGCACTTCCAGCTGTGCACCCGAAAGCAAAGCCTCTCTGAATATTTACAGTAACATGTCACTTAAAGGATAACTACATTAAGTCTCCTTAGCAGCCTGCCCCCCGATCTGCTCAGGGACTACAGCAGCACCCGGCTGCTCTTCGCCGCAGACCGACCGCAGGACTCCTGCCTGCGAGGGGTGCAGGGTGCTGCCGTACCCCCATAAATGAAAATCACAGTGCAAATCCATCTAGCTTGAGATAGGTCTTGTGGCTTCATTTTATCATATCAAATAGCTGGAATACAATAGTCATAAAATAAACCTCATACTCTTAATTTTCCTTTTTTTTTTTTCTCCTGGCCTTTACTAAAGGCAGACACACAAGCAAACACAGACTAAACACAATTACGATCCTGGAGAAGCTATTTGCTTCCTTAGGCTGTTACTTGTTCAACACTCATAAAACTCAAGTTCCCCGAAAAGTCGGACATTAAACATCAGTCTTGCCGATAAAGCAATCGTTACATCTCTTCTAACACAGTGCAACTTCTGCAGTAACGAACTTCCGCTTCTGCTTCACAGCAACATGGAGGCCATCACTTTCATGCTACAGTGCTAAAACTTTTTTTTTTCCTGTTTTAATGATATTATCTGCATATGCATTTTAGTAAAGATAACGTACAAAGACAAAGTTCAGACTTGGCCCTTCCACTGTATTGTCCTTTTATTTTAAAGCCTCCTGCAATGATCAAGTGACAATATTTTTCTTAAAAGTATTTAAAATCTCTACTAGTCTACAGGTATATGAATGAGCAAAATCCACACCGTTAATTTCACAGCAAATTATATATACTACATCCTTTGCATTCTCTGTAAAGGTGATTTCTTTATTGCTTTTCAGTCGGTGCTAGAGCCCAGCTGGCAGTGCCAGGGTCCACTTTAACCCCTGTGGGAAGCACCATAGATACTAAGTCCGGGTGGACACTGCCTGTGATCCAACACAGTATTTAATCACAGAAAACTGGTGGGACATTTGCTGGCAGCAACATATATCGTGGCAGGAAGCCGAGGGTTCACTCTCAGGGGAATAATGTCATTTTAATTTCTTGTGGGCTTTACCAATAATTCCTGGGGAGCTGGAGCAGGGCCGGGGAGTGATGCTCCGGGGATGGGCACCCACTCGCCTCGCCCAGGGCTGGAGGGGACCCCTGTGCAGGGGGAGCGGCGCTCAGCCCCTAATGAGAAATACGCCCAAATTACAGCACAACTGTGGCTGTGGTGCCTCAGCACAAGCATCCTGCCCCATCTCTGCTCCATCAACAGTACAGAATAAACTGTTAAACCAACTCCTGGGGCTCCCAAAAGCACATGAAAATCTTTCTCTCAACTTTTCCAGCGGAGCAAGCACCACAGGAGGTTAACTGACAAAATGATAGTAAAGCAGAAGACAAGAGAACGATGCATCTGCCGGCACTGCGGCAGCCAGCTCCCGCGCTGGGTTTGTCCCCCGTATTCCTGGGAGTGGGTCAGTGCTCGCTCAGGGTCCCGGAGGAGCTCCACACCACAGGGGTCCCACTGAACCCCCAGCAAGCGCCAGGAAGGGTCTGCTTTGGGATCTGACTGCTACTTTTAATACTCTTCAGAACTGCAGAGTTTTGTTACTTAAACTTTGCGTAACAAAATCTTACATTTAGTGCCCCTCTCTTTAACATATTATTTAAATCTCCCCTAACTTACCTCAGGACGGCAAGACCTATGTGCCAAAGTAGGCGCAATGCAACGCAGACATCATAAAACCGTTCAGCTTTCTGAACAACTGACCATAACCCACTAAACAACTGCACGCTATTCTGCTGCGAATTCGCACGGCTGGCAAGGGCCACAAAGTGGGGTAAAAAGAGTAATTCTTACCTGGGGGGCCTGGTGCGCGGGGTGCGTCAGCGCGTGCTGCAGTGCTCTGGCAGCGCAGCCACCGCCTCCGCCGGCAGCGCGCGGGGCTAATTACAACATGCTTTTTTTTTTTGCAACAGCGGGACTGTGGCCTAGTGAGAGGGGAAATGGTGAAAGGCCAGAAGAATTACGCTTTCCAAACCCTATAGGTCTAAGGATGTAAAATAAGCTATTTGCAGTAGCATACAGCAGTAACCATGGCGATGGGCTGTGGTTTGCATATATATTTTCTTAAAGAAGCAAAAATTACTTTCAGTTAATAAAAAAAAAGAGACGCAAGGGGAAGTGCTTTTGCATTGCAGCCACATCTTGAGTCGCAGTGTAGCTTGCTGCCGGGGAAGCTCGCATCTCGGACACAAACAGGCATTTTGAAATGTGCCAGTTGAAGCAGTCTCTGCTGCAACCTGTTAATCTGCCCATGGGCATCTGGCAGGGGGACGGGCTTAGGCCACCGGAGCAGGCCATCGCCTGCAGTCCCTGGAAATGGGATGATGGTTGGGGCGGTGGCCCTGGGGCTCCCTTCCTGCTGCGAGCCACAGATAACGACTGCCCGGCCGGCACACTGCTGGCAGCACCCGCGGCACTGCCAGCCTCACTGACCAGAGATATTTACACACGTTTTTGTTGTTTCTGCTGCAGCTGCTACCATCTCCGGGCTTCCTGCGCACGCGACAGCCCTTCCGCCCAAAGCCCTGCAGAGCGAGAGCTGGCTGCGCACTGCAGAACTTGCTAGAAACGGCCCTTGCTCAAGGCAGGGGGAGAAACGCTCTCCCCCCTGGCTTCACCGGTCACTGCCAGCCTTTGCAAAACCGCAGAGCAGCTCCCAGCCTGGGGCAGTGCCCTGGCAGGAGCTGGCTGCCCACGGTACGCGACAGCCCTTCCGCCCAAAGCCCTGCAGAGCGAGAGCTGGCTGCGCACTGCAGAACTTGCTAGAAACGGCCCTTGCTCAAGGCAGGGGGAGAAACGCTCTCCCCCCTGGCTTCACCGGTCACTGCCAGCCTTTGCAAAACCGCAGAGCAGCTCCCAGCCTGGGGCAGTGCCCTGGCAGGAGCTGGCTGCCCACGGTGGGTATTGCGCAGGGCAGGAGGGGGCGGGGGGGATGGCAGCCGGGGAGCAGCAGCGCGGGCACCGCTGCAGCGGAAGCACTGCCTGCCTTCCTTTCTGCTTGTTTAAGCCTCTTTCCACACATGGTGCAAGAGGGCTGCCTACTTGCAGGATACGGTGCACAAGACCTAAGCTTGCAAAGCAGCCAGGAGCTGTGTCCCTTGACTGCCCGTGCTTCCAGGGTGTGCTGGAGGTGCAACCTGCAGGTAAAAGCAGCCTGGAAACCACTG